ACACACCATCCCCCCGCAGAAGTACGTGGACGTGGACATATTCGGCGCGTGCGGCAAAGCTTGCCCCAAGACCCCCGACTGGTGCGGCCGTGACATGGGACAGTACCACTTCTACCTGGCCTTCGAGAACTCTCTCTGCGCCGACTACGTCACCGAAAAGTTCTTCAAAATCTTCCGGAAGGATTTCCCGGTGGTGCCTGTGGTGCGCGGCGGTGCGGACTACGATCAGCTGTTCCCACCACGGACTTTCGTCAACGCGGCGAGTTTCAAAAGCGCGAAAGAGTTGGCGCTACATTTGAAAAAGCTGCGCGGAAATGCGGAGGAGTACGGGGAACTTCTGTGGGAAAAGTTGCAGTACACGAAAACGAAACACGATCTAAACGATTTCCACTGCCAGCTTTGTGAATATCTCAACAGCAGGGACCCGCTTGTGAGAAGATTTTACGACATTAGGAAGTGGATGGGCTCCTGTGACATACCTAAAGATATTGCAGGGTGAGGAGATAGGTCTGTTTTGGGATGTGTGAGTTTATGCATGTGTCTGGGGTATGGTTTTGTATTAATATATACATGTATAAGATTGCCATGTTTTTCCAATGTCAACTTTCCTATGTTACTAAGCTATGTTTCTCTTAGTTCCTACACATATCAGCATTCTAAATTGTGAGGCAGCGTGGTGGAATCAGGCTCTCGTCAATTTTTGGGCATGTAGAGTTATTGGTATCATCGTAAAGGCGTTCACTTGTGTTTATTTGGATGAAAAAAATATCCATTTATCTTGAATACAAGTCGAGATATTTGCAAATGAAGGAGGTGGGGGTCACTTGTTTTCAGATGTAAAATTAGTGAGAAAATGGTCGCCAAAGATTAGTTAATTCCTTAGCTTAAGAGTCCGTGGTAACTGAAAATTTACAATTTTTTTTGCCTTTAATCTACGTTTTTCAGAAAAATCCACACAGAAATGAGTTCTTTAATGGGCATGAAAGGTGTTGAACAAAAAAACACAAAAAATTTGATAAAAATTCACAAACCAACAGAAAAAAGCAAGTTTCTTCACTTTGACTTTGATTATTTTGACGAGAGCCTGATTCCACCACGCTGCCTCACAATTCATCCTTCCAACTCCAGTGTTCCGTGCCCATAATTGGTCGCTTTTAAGGGGTTTCCAGAAATCTTGATCTACACCAAAAGTGGGCATTGCCCTACCTATAGGAGAAGTTTGGTTTCTCAAAATGTATAGAAAATCTTTGGAACAACCAGATACAAAATGCATAGAGAATCTTTGGTACAACCAGATACAAAATGTATAGAGAATCTTTGGTACAACCAGATACAAAATGTATAGAGAATCTTTGGCACAACCAGATACAAAATGTATAGAGAATCTTTGGCACAACCAGATACAAAATATATAGAGAATCTTTGGCACAACCAGATACAAAATATATAGAGAATCTTTGGTACAACCAGATACAAAATGTATAGAGAATCGTTGGTACAACCAGATACATGTACAAAATGTATAGAGAATCTTTGGCACAGCCAAGAGATTTTTTAATGGGGTTTTTTTTTGGTAAATGTTTTACGGCGCTCGCAACTGCATGAGGTCATATGAGCGCGCGGGACACACCTAGATTAATAATTTCAGTTGGTAGGACATTTTGAATGTTGCCTTGGTAGCGGCCAAAGTCTACTCTTATCGATTTTACACCACCATCGGATCCTTAACGTGCGCAACTTGCACACGGGCCCTCCGAGATCTTTCGCCTTTGTCCGAAGAGGCTAGACAGGTGTAGATCTTTCCTACCAGAAGATCAGGGATGCGGCTGAAAGAGAGCAGTAAGAAGGAGCCAAGGAGTAGTAGTAGAAAGGCTGCAGAAAGAATTAAGAGCCCAAAGGAGGGGGCAAAGGTTGAGGGG